GTATTTTATTGAGGATTTTTGCATGTATGTTCATCAGAGACATTGGTAATTTTTTTGTTCTTATAGTGTCTTTGTCTGGCTTTGGTACCCGGGTGATGCTGGCCTCAAAAAATGAATTTGGAAGTATTCCTTTGTCTTTTGAGTTTTTGGAAGAGACTGAGAAGAAACAGTGTTAATTCTTCTTTAAATGTTTGGCAGAAGTCACCAGAAAAGCCATCTGGTCCTGGCATTTTCTTTCTTGGGAGGTTTTTGATTACTAATTCAATCTCCTTACTAATTATAAGTCTGTTCAGATTTTCTATTTCTTCATGAATAAGTCTGGGTAGGTTCTCTTCTCTACGAAATTATGTTTCATCTAGATTATCCAATTTGTTAGCATATAATTGTTCATAGTAGTTTCTAATGATACTATTTCTGTGACATCAGTTATTATGTCTCCTCTTTCATTTCTGATTTTGAGTCATTTTTTTTGGTCTAGCTAAGTTTTTCAATTTTGTTGCTCTTTTCAAAAAACTCAACTCTTAAAGTTTTATTTTTTTCTGGTTTTCCATATCATTTTATTTCTGCTCTAAATGCTGTTTCCTTCCTTCTGCTAATATTGGACTAAGTTTGCTCTTTTTCTAGTTCCTTGATGTGTAGAGTTAAATTGTTTGAAATCTTTCTTCTTTTATATATTGTGTTTATTGCTATAAACTGTCCCCTTAGTGCTGCTTTTACTATATTCTATAAGTTTTGGTATATTGTGTTTTCATTTTGTCTCAGAGTTTTTCTAATTTCCCTTCTGACTTCTTTAACCATTTGGTTCATTTACAATTTTTAATTTCCACATATTTGTGAATTTTCATGTATTCCTTATGTTAATCATTTAGTTTCAATCCATTTTGATAAAAAAAATGTACCTGATATGCTTTCAGTCTTCTTAAATTGGTTTTCCTCTTTTTTTAGTAGTAGTTTTTTAATTTTTATTTTTAAAAATATTTTATTTATTTAGCTTTAGAGGGGAAGGGAAGGAGAGAGGGAGAGAAATATCAATGTATGGTTGCCTCTTATGCATCCCCTGCTGGGAACTGGCCTGCAACCCAGGCATGTGCCCTGATTGGGAATCGAACTGCAATGCTTTGGTTCGCAGGCCCGTGCTCAATCCACTGAGCTATACCAGCCAGGGCTATTTTCTTCTTCTTTAAAAAAAAAAAAGTTTAATTATTGTTCAAGTACAGTAGTCTCCATTTTCCCCCCACCACAACCCCTGCCCCACCCTTTGTTTTGTGACCCATCATATGATTCATCCTGGAGAATGTTCCTTGTGCTTTTGAGAAAAATGAATATATATGTTCTACTTCTGTTCAGGCTATTTGTTAGGTCCATTTGATTTATATTGTTGTTAAAGTCTATTATTTCTTTATAGATTTTCTGTCTGAATGTTCGAGCCATTGAAAGCGAGGTACTGAAGTCTCCTACTATTACTGTATTTCTCCTTTCAGTTTGCTTCATATATTTATTTAGTGTTCTATATATTCAGATGCTATTACATGCATATAGATTTATAATTGTTATATCTGCCTATGAGTTGATCCTTTTACCATTATATGTCTTTGTTTCTTATGACAGTTTTTGACTGTAAGTCTCCTTTGTCTGCTATAAATACAGTCATCCTTGCTCTTTTGGCTAACATTTGTATAAAATATCTTTTCCATCCCTTTGCTTTCAGCCTATATTTGATCTTAAATCTAAAGTGAGTCTTATGTAGGCAGCATACAGCTGGATTTTGCTGGATTTTAAAAAATCCATTCAGCTACTCCAGGTATTTTGACTGAGGAGTTTTAACTTATTTACATTTGAAGTAATTATTGGTAGAAAAGTACTTACTATGGCTTTTTTGTTAATTGTTTCCTATGAGTCTTATAGTTCTTTTGTCCACCTTCTCCTCTCTTGCTATTTCCACTTGCGTTCTATTGATTTTTTTTTTTTTGTATTCATACGCTTTCATTCCTTTTTCTTTTGTGTAACTTCTATAGGTATTTTCCTGGTGATTGCAATGAGGCTTCCATAAAACAACTTACAGTTCTCATATTCGGGAAGTTTTCCATCATTATTTCTTTGAATAAGCTCTCTGTCCTTTTCTCTCTCTCTTCTCCTCCTGGAGTCCCAAATGCATGTATTGGTCCAGTAGATAGTGATCCCAAAAGCTCTTTAAGCTTTCCTCACTGTCCCACTTTTTTTCCCTTTTCACTCCTCTGATTGGATATACCTGTCTTCGTGTTCACTGATCTTTGTTTGGCTTGATCTGATCTAATCTAATCAAGCTTGATCTGATGCTGAAACCATTTGTGAATTTTTCATTTCAGTTACTGTATTCTGTAGCTCCATAATTTCTAATTTTGAAAAAATGTTGTGTCTTTGTGTTGTGTTGAAACTCTCCCTTTTTAATGCATTTTTCTTCTGACCTCATTAAGCACCTTTATAATTTCTACTTTGAATTCCCTGTCATAAAAATCATGTATCTCCACTTTACTGGGGTCAGCCTCTAGAGATTTATGTTGTACCTTTGTTTGGGGCATATTTCCCTATATTTCCCTTTTCCTTGATTCTGTGTGTTGGTGTTTGTGCATTAAGAAAAAGCAGCCACTTCACCCAGCCTTAGTGGACTAGTTTTGTATTAAAAAAAAAAAGTCCCTCCCCAATCAGCCTATTCAGAGATTCTGGAGACCTCTTAAACCACTGTGCCAGGCCAAACCACTGCCAGTGAGACAGTCCTCAAAGAGAAACCAAACCTGCCAACACCTTGATCTTAAACTTCCAGCCTCTAGAATTGTAAGAAATAAATGTCTGCTGTTTAAGCCCCGCAAGCCTGTGGAAATCTGTTATGGAAGCCAAGCAGACTAAGACAGAATCCTCAGCTATTTTATAAATTCCAGTTAGGGTTACACCCTTCTTGTAATTTAATGAGAGATAAATTTAGCCTGAAATACATTAGTTGAAAAAAATTAGCTGTGAATGTAGATGAAATTAAGAACATGCTGCGAAAAATAATTGTTTTTACAAAGGTTCCATCAAACTCAGCAAATATGACATTATACACCTTTTAATGTGGTTAAGAATATGATGTCGTCTATAAAGTACCAAACTGTTTAATCCAAATCTAATGTAGATCCTACCTTGCACTTGATAGGAAGTACAGATGCTAGGAGAAGTTAAATGGGAGTGAGTAAACAATCAGTGGAACCCAAAGCATGGAGCATTCAACGAGGTCAGCACACTGAATTCATTATAGAGGCGGTGTCACAGAAAACCTTCAAAGAGAGGAAACTATTCTAGACTAAAAATATAATAACCAATGACTGTACAGAAACAAAACTGATCCTGGCTCCAGATATCAAAGAAATGAAAAATAAAGTCTATAAAATACATTCTTATAAGAACTAGGAAAATATAAAGATAGTCTGAATATCAGATAATATCACTGCTAATTTTTAGTTGTGATAATATAGAGTGATCTTAATCTTAGGACATGCATGGTAATATATGCCATGATGTCTACAACTTACGTTCATAAGTAGAACTACAAAAAAAATGTGTGTGTGTGTGTGTGTGTGTGTGTGTGTGTGTGTGTGTAGAGGGAGGGTGAAGGCAGGGAAGAGGGAGAGCACAGATATGGCAAATGTTAGCTGTTGAGTTTAAGGAGAATATATTCTTTCAAGTTTTTTTGTAATGTCTGAATATGTGCATAATAAAAAGTTGGGGAACATTACCCTCAATGTCATCTCTAAACTATCTAGATCAGAAGGGGGAGATTTGAAGGGGGAGAATCCATGGATGGAATCCTATGAGCTTCCAAAATTCTATGCAAAGTGAAACATACAATCACGAATGTGTACGAGCGCAGTTTTCCAGAGAAAGGGTTCCCAATTTCTCTTGGGTGTTTATGATGTGGTAATCATACCACATATAATGCCTCGAATTATGACTTTTCTCCTTAACGTTATATTGTAAGAGCTCTTCCAGGTTATTATACCATCTTTGTAACCACAATCTACAATTTACGGAACTACTATGTAATATTTTAAGTGTTTACTTAACCATCCTATTTTTAGACAAGTAGGCTGTTGCCAAATTTTTACTATCAGAAAGAACTGTTATTTTCTTCCCTTTATTTCTTTTAGATAAATTCCTAAAGTATATTACTAGGTCAAAGTAGATGATAATTTTTAAGGTTTTTGACATACTCTTATTATACCAATATGCTTCCCCAAATGTCTAAAATATACAGTGTTACTAGTAATGAATGAGAATACTTATTTGATTATACTCTTTCTCTAAAAGAGCTTATTTATTTATTTTTAGAGAGAGGGGAAGGGAGGGAGAAAGAAAGAGAAACATAATGTGTAGCTACCTCTCATGCGCCCCTACCAGGGACCTGGCCTGCAACCCAGGCATGTGCCCTGACTGGGAATCAAATCTGTGACACTCTGGTTCACAGGCCTGCTCTCAATCCACTGAACCACACCAGCCAGAGCTGATTTTACTCTTACCAATAATCAGTAAAACATCTGTATCAGTTTATTACTACTTTTGCTAATAAATGAAAATATATCCTCATTATGATATTTTGCATTTTTTCCCTGAGAATACTTTTCCACCATATAATTACTGACAAGTTGAACTTCTTTTGTAAATTATTACTTATGTCCACTATACATTTTTCAATTGGCTATGTACACAGATTTAAAACTAAATTTGTCTCAATATTCCATAATCAGGTTAACCCAATGTTTAACATGTTGGTGGAAAATATTATTTCTCCAATCTATGGTTCATTTCAAATTTTTGTTTTAAGATTTAGCTGGACACTGTCATTGCTCTTTTCCCTTTTGTGATTCTTTAAAAGGATTTGGAGCCAACTCCCTTATTCCCACCCCTTCTTCCCTGTGATAATACTTAACTCATTTCCTTCTCGGCTCTTACAGTTTTAACATTACACACCCTTATTCAAGAGGCATTACCTGTTGGTCATCAGGAGTCCATATGCCACATGTGATTTGACTTTCCAAGTTGATCTCAGATGACCAGTGTCTTTGTCCACTGACAGAACCAACCAGGACAAATCCATCTCGATATGAAATAAGCGCTTGAGTCCCATCATGGCTCCAAGTGAAATCACTCACCTTTGAGACACACACAGACAAAAGTACTCAATTTGTAATCTTAAAGGGAAAGTACTTGTATCAAAGACTAGATATAATCATTAACTTAGCCTCTGGCTAAGATCAAGATGGCTTTAAAGAGAATATAAATGTATATAATATATGTATTAAACAATATTATATAATGTAAAAGACATCATTTGGAAAGCACGTGTCAGTGTGCTAAGTGCTTCACACAAGTTAAAGACCATCCAAGGAAGGTATTATTACCACGTCCATTTTACAGAGAAAATAAGCATGTGGGATAACCCAAATCAGCAAGACCTTTTGTATACAGATGGTTTCATTCCTCTTGAATAAATACCTAGAAGTAGAATTAATTGCTGGTTGGTATGTTTAGCTTATGTTGAACTGCATAAGAAACCACCAAACTGGTTTACAAAGTGGTTATACCATTTCACATCCCCAACAGCAGTACATTTGAGTACCAGCAGTACCAACATTTGTTGTTGTCAGTCTTTTGATTTAGCTATCCTAGTAGCTGTGCAGTGGTATGTTGTGTTTTAATATGCATTTTGACAATGACTAGTATGCTGAACATGATTTCGTGTGCTTATCAATCATTTGTACATTATCATTTGGACATGTTTGTTCAAATTCCTTGTCATATACATATGTTTATATATATGTATTCATATCACCTACATATACAAGGTCTGTCTAGAAAAAGTCCAGCCATTGTTAACAAAATGAGAACAGTTTGTGACTTTGATGTAACCTGGCAGCCAAGGAGAGTGGACTGGAATGCGCATGTGTAAACAGTGACGACTTCACTGTACTGTACTAGTCAGTGAGCAGCAGACACCACTGAGTGAGCCTGTGTACTGTGTGGCTGTCACATTCAAAATGACTGAATGAGCAGAGCAATGAATCTGCATCAATTTGCGTTAAATTTGAACATTCCTCAATGGAAACTATCTGTATGATTCAGAAGGCCACAGCTATGGACAACTGGTGATTGGCAGCTTCATTGTGAAAACACATCGGCTCATGCATCACACCTCATGCAGAATTTTTTGGCAAAACATAAAATCACCCAGGTGACTCAGCCCCTCTACAGCCCACACTTGGTGCCATGAGATGTCTGGCTTTTCACAAAACTAAAATTACCTTTGAAGGGGAAGAGACTTCAGACCATCAATGACATTCAGGAAAATATGACAGGAAGCTGATGGCAACTGGGGCAACTGTGTGAGGTGCCAAGGTGCCTACTTTGAAGGGGACTGAGGTGTCATTGTCTTACACACAGTGTTTCTTATGTCTTGTATCTTTTTCAAAAAATGTCTCCGTTTTTCATGTGACGTGGGTGGATACTTTCTGGACAGACCTCATGAGTCAAGTAGTCGGCCTTCTTGTGCTGTAAAAATTCTAAACACAACCCTCTGTCCGAAGTGTCTGCTGGAGATCATCTCTCCCACTCTGTGCTTTGCCTTTTCATTTTCTCAGTTGTCTCTTTCAAAGAGCGAAAGTTTTAAATTTTAATGAAGTCCAATATTAATTTTTTTCTTTTATGATTCATTCCTTGTGTCCAATCTGAGAAACTTTTACCTAATCTAGGGTTGCAAATGCAAAGTTTCTAGAAGTTTAACTTTTACATTTATATCTATAACTCCCTTAGGGTTAATTTTTGTGAAGGATATGAGGTAAGAATTAAGGTACTTTTAAAAAACAATACAGATATAGTTGTTTTAGCATATTTGTCAAAGACTTCTTTCCCATTGTTGAACCACCTAGGCATTAAAAAATTACCTTTGACTGCCTTGTCACTTACTTCTCCTACAGCCATGCCCAAGTTCTCATTCATAAAATTGTTTAGGCTTTCTCTTTTGTAATCAGTCTCGACAGCAGTTTGTCTATTTTGTTCATTTGTTTCCAAAGATCACATTTTGTATTTGTTGATCTCTTCTACTATACCATTTTCTTCCTATTGAATTAATTTCCACTTTAAAAAAGTTATCTTCCTATTTTCATTGGATTTCCTGTTGTTCATTTGGTAACTTTGTAAGGAAGGTAGATACTTACCTGGCTGATGATCCTTACATTATAGAATAGTTTTACTTCTTTCCAATATAAATAACTGAAGATAAATATTTGTCTCATATCACCACGTAAATCCTATCTCACAAACTTTATATTTGATTTCATCATCACTCATATCTAGGATTTTATAAATTTCTGTTAAGTTTATTATTTAACCCTTGAGTTATTTAACAAGGCGTTTTAAAGTAACCAAATATACGAAAATTTCTTAAATTTATCCTTTTGTTATTAACTTATAACCAAGCTGTATTGTGCTCAGAAATCATGATCTATAATCATGAACCCTACCAAGTGAATTCTCTTGAAGTTTTAATTATGCCCTAAAACAGGGGCTGGCAAAATATGGCCAGTTGACCAACTCAGTCCTGCCACCCATTTTTGTATAACCTACAAACTAAGAATGGTTTAAAATGGCTGAGAAAAAAACAAATAGAAGAATGATATTTTGTTATATGTGAAGTTATATAGCAAACTCAAACTTCAGGATCCACAAATGAAGTTTTAAATTTTATCAATAAAAGTGTTCTGTCCTCTTCAACAAATGGTGTTGGGAGGTCTGGACAGCTACACACAAAAGAATTAAACTTGATTACCAACTTACACCATACACAAAAATTCAAGGTACATAAAAGACTTAAATATAAGTCATGACACCACAAAAGTCCTAGAGGAAAACGTTGGCAGGAAAATTTCAGACATTTTATGCAGCAACATCTTCACTGATATGTCCCCTAAAGCAAGGAACATAAAAGAAAGAATAAACAAATGGGACCTCATCAACTAAAAAAGCTTCTGCATGGCTAAAGAAAACAGCATTAAAATGAAAAGAGAACCAACTATATGGGAAAACATATTTGCCAATGATACCTTGGACAAGGATTTGATCTCCAAAATATATAAAGAACTCACAGGACTCAACTCCAGGAAGACAAAAAAACTCAATTAAAAAGTGGGCAAAAGACTTGAACAGATACTTCTCCAAGGAGGACGTACAGAGGGCCCAGAGACATATGAAAAGATGCTCAGTATCACTAGCCATCAGAGAGATGCAAATTAAAACCACAATGAGGTACCACTTCACACGGGTCAGAATGGCCATCATAAACACATCAACAAACAAGTGCTGGTGAGGATGTGGAGAAAAGGGGAACCTAGTGCACTGTGGGTGGGAATGCAGACTGGTGCAGCCACTGTGGAAAACAGTACGGAGATTCCTCAGAAAACTAAAAATGGATCTGCCTTTTGACCCAGCAATTCCACTGCTGGGATTATACCCTAAGAGTCCTGAATCACCAATCCAAGAGAACCTATATACCCCAATGTTCATAGCAGCACAATTTACAATCACCAAGTGCTAGAAGCTACCTAGGTGTCCATCAGTAAATGAGTGGATCAAAAAACTGGTACATTTACACAATGGAATACTATGCAGCAGAGAGAAAGAAGGAGTTCCTAGCCTTTGCAACAGCATGGATGGAACTGGAGAGCATTATGCTAAATGAAATAAGCCAGGCAGTGAGGGACAAATACCATAGGATCTCACCTTTAACTGGAAACTAATCAACAAAAGAAAAAATAAGCAAAACAGAACCAGAGACATTGAAATTAAGAACAATCTGACAGTAACTAGAGGGGAGGTGGGAGGGGATAATGGGGGGAAGGGTTTTCAGGAACTACTACAAAGGACACATGGACAAAACCAAGGGGGCAGGAGTGGAAGCAAGGGAGGGAGGTGGGTTTGGTTGGGGTGGGGGAGAGTGATGGGGGGGGAAATGCAGACAACAGTAATTGAATAACAATAAAATAATTTAAATAAAAAAGTATTCTGGAAATCCATTTTCTTTCCTGTTATACAGTATTTACATAATAGCCTCAATTCTGGCTCCTAGTCCACAAAGCCTTAAATATTTACTCTCTGGTCCTGGTTGGTGTGGCTCAGTGGACTGACTGCAGGTCTGCAAACCTAAAGGTCACTAGTTTGATTCCCAGTCAGGGGACATGCCTGGGTTGTGGGCCAGGCCCTCAGTTTGGTGTGTGAGAGGCAACAGATCTTTGTTTCTCTCCCATATCAATGTTTCTCTCCCTCTATTTCTCCTCTCTAAAAATAAATAAATAGACTTCTGGCCAAAATGGAGGTTTGGGCTGCCTCCTCACACAACCAAAAAAGGGTTGTTTAGAAATTTGTTATTTTTAAATAATTAAAACAAAACAAAAAAAACAACCAGATCTGCCAGAAAACGGAACTGTATGGAAGTCCGACAACCAAGGAGTTAAAGAAGAAACAATTGTCTCCCATGTTGAGAGGGGCAGAGACAGACAGCCAGAGTGGAGAGGACACACGGTGAGGCGGCAGCTGGCAGTCTCACATTTCCATGCAGATAAACCAGGAACAACTGGGCAGCGAGACAGACTGCACAACCCAGGGTCCCAGCGTGAGAAAATAAAGCGTCAAAACCTCCGTCTATAAAAATCTGTGGGGGTTGTGGCAGCAGGAGAGACTCCTAGCCTCACAGGGGAGCTTGTTGGAGAGCACTGCAGGGTCCTGGAACATACACAAACCCACCCGTCTAGGAATCAGCACCAGAGAGGCCCAGTTTGCTTGTGGGTAGTGGGGGAAGCAAATGAAAGCCAGCAACGAACCAGCAAGTGGTATTGTTCCCTCTCTGACCCCTCTCCCACATACAGTGCCACAACACAGTGATGTGAGTTTTCCTGCCCTGGTGAACACCTAAGGCCCCACCCCTTGCTATGTAACAGATGTGCCGATATAAAGAAATATTGCCCAAATGAAAGAACAGATCAAAGTTCCAAAAACAGAACTGGGTGATAAAGAGATAGCCAACCTATCAGATTTGCAGTTCAAAACACTGGTAATCAGGATGCTCACAGAAATGATTGAGTATGGTCATAAACTAGAAGAA